GCCAGGGCCTAGCCGCCACCAGACTGGGGCCCCGAGCAGGGCTACAAATTCAAATCCAGGTTCTTACCACACAGACCCCCCAGCTCAGCCCTGCTCGACCCATCACCCACTTCTCAGTGAGGCTGCAGGCCCCTGCCTGGACAGGACACACCCACACAGGGACCACAGGAGGGGCAGAGGGGCAAGAGCCATCCCCAGCTGCTCTGTCAGGTACCCAGGCTGGAAAGCCAGGTGAGCAGGGCTACAAATTCAAATCCAGGTTCTTACCACACAGACCCCCCAGCTCAGCCCTGCTCGACCCATCACCCACTTCTCAGTGAGGCTGCAGGCCCCTGCCTGGACAGGACACACCCACACAGGGACCACAGGAGGGGCAGAGGGGCAAGAGCCATCCCCAGCTGCTCTGTCAGGTACCCAGGCTGGAAAGCCAGGTGTCAGATCCCTGCTCCTCCCCTCCTTAGCCTCCCCATCCCACCATGGCTGAGCCAGGAAGCCTTGAGCAGTCCGACCCCACCCCCACCCATCAAGGCAATGGGGGAGGGGAAGAGGAGGAGGACAGGAGTCCTGGGTTAAACACAAGACCAGGGCCCCCTCTGTCACCAGAGCTTTCCTTCCTCTGGGAAGGGGGAGCCGCTGGGTCCCTCACTGGAGGTGCAGGGGGGTCAGCAAAGGAGCGAAGGCAGCACTTGTACGACCTCGCCAAGACCATGATGTTGGTCCCTGGAGCCTTGCTCATGCCTCTATGGAGTCTTCACCAGTCAGGGTCCCACAGGGCCCTCTAAGGCCCCATCTCCATAATCCCTCCAAGCCCCAGCTCGGGCCAAGCACCAAGCAAGCATGGGGCCATCCACCAGCAACTTGGGGGAAAGCAGCCTGTCCCAGAGCAATGGGCCTTTGTGCCCTAAGTTCTCATTTATAAACCGCATCAATACCAGCCTCTGCACCCCTCACAGTACCCCTGCCTCCATTCCCAACCACTCCAAACACTCCTTTAATAGGAAAAACAGCCACCAACCGTATGATTAACATCTACACACAGAACAACTCAGTTCCACAGACGGACATACTGATGTAAGGGGAGGTGATGTACTTCAAAGAAAAGAGGCCAGGGGAGGTGAGGGGAGGAGGGGGTGGGCACAGGAATAAGAGGAGACAAGGGGAAGCAAGAAGCTGGTCTTGGTTCAGACACAGCCCAGCATTTCCAGACACTCCTGCCACTGTAGCCACTGCTGTGGTGACAACTTCAACAATAGCAGGGGAGTCGCCTGCCCATGGGCCGCCGCCACCGCTGGCTCAGTGGCTGGGATGCCAGCCAGCCTGGCCGGGGCGGGGGCTGCAGCAGGCAGTGCCCAGCCTGCACATGCCCAGAGAGGAGCCTCAAGCCCAAATGCTCGATGCCCGGCCGCTGGCAGGTTGCGTGCGCCTGCCTCTCCATGCCTCCAACCCAGTCCTCGGGCACCCATCCCGGGCAGGGCCCCTCCAAGGGAGGCTCACCCCGAGCTTCCTGCTCTTCATCTTCACATAGCCTTGCTTGACGATGTCGCTGAAATTGGTCGCCATAGTTTCCCCGCCGTCTCTGGGGCGCCCGGGCCTGGCGGAGGCAAGGAGAGGGGTGCCCAGGTGGCCTCTGTTTCCGGCTGCTCCGATCACCTGTTCGAGACACTGTCGGGCTGGGCTGCCTCCTGGCTGTGCCTCACCTCGCCCGCCTCAGCATTGTTCTAGCAGTTCCTCCGCCAGGCGCCGACTGGAAATGAAAATGACAGGGAGATTAGAGACAGTGACATCTCTCTCTTCCCCTCGCTGTCTTGCTCTCTTTTTTCCTTCCTCTTCCCACACTCCTCCTGCCCGCCCTCCCTCTGCCCGCCCTTCTTCCTTCCTTCCCTCCCCACCCCAGGACGGCAGAACCATTCAGGAAAACCGAGGTGGAGGCAGCAGTGAGGAAAATGGTCCAGCCCAGTCCCCTCCCTCATGGCCTGGGCTGCCAGTTAACCCCTTCCTGGGAAGACGGGCTCTGGCTCCCGCTGTGGAGGTGGGGACAGAGGCAGGGAGGTGGCTGGGAGCCCTGGGCTGAATTTAGGAGCTGCTGGCCCTTGGCTCTCTAGGTCTATGGCCCTGTCTCCTGTTCCAACTTTGGGGCAGACTTGGGGCAACTTACCAAGAGCAAGATACCACCCCCTCCAGAGTCACCAGGGGAGAGCTTTCCTAGGGAGGGGAAAGGGGGCCCCAGAGAATGGCCCAGAGTCTGGTGACCGAGGGTAAAGACATTTGTCTTGTCTGCTCAGCTGACCCCCAAATCCCTCTGCCTCACCCTGTCCTTTATCTGGTTCTCCCAGCCCCAGACGGGAGGCTGAAGATCATCACCCCAAACCCATTCAGGCCCTGCCCCAGCCCCTGGAACTCTAAGGTGGCCCCTCTGGGTGGGAGGGCAGAGTCCAGCAGGGCGGGGCCCCAGATAAGCCTGAGGAATGTGCCAGGCTGGCTGGAGGTGGCCCCTGTGGAAGCAGGCACAGACGTCTAGCTCTGGGGCTGGGGCTGGCCAGGCCAACCAGTGCCTGCGTCCTGAACACAAGCAGGAGTTAATCACAGGGAGAACGAGTCCGGGCTGGGGCACAGAACACAGCCTGTAGTGCAGGAGACAGTGTGGCGCACCAGGGAGGTCAGGATGGAGCAGGAGATGGTACCAGCAGGGTCACTCCAAATCAGGCACATCAGTACAGACAGGAAAAGAAAGCAGCCCAGGGAGGGTAAGCCACACGGCTAAGGTCACTCAGCAAGCCCAGGGCTCCGCCAGGGCTGAATGAGAAGTCCCAGGGTGGGCGATGGAGACCAGCAGCAAGGTACCCCACGTGCCCTAGGATCACTGGGTGGGGATGGAGCACCATTCCTGGGGTCACTGGGATCCGGACGGAATAGAGCCCTGGGGCAGGCCTGCTACGGGATCTGCTAGCAGCTTGGCACTCTTGAAGCTCCAGAGGCCTGTCTGCTGAGCCCGTAACAAGGATGGACCACCCCAATGGGCACATGCAAACACAGAGGGAGAGAGGGCAATGCTCCCTTATCCTGCTTCACCCTGACGGCCCCCTCACCTCCCCTCCTGCCGCTGGGACTCCAGGCCCTCCTGCAAGTGATCTACTTTTCCTCTGTAAGGACTGGGCTAGGGGCCCCTCCCTGGCACTGATCCCCAACCGCCTTGCTACACCTGGGCTCTGGCTGTCAGAGGGTCAGTTTCCCCAACTGTCTCCTCTGCCTGCTTCTGTGCTATCCCCTCCTCAGAATAAGGCCCATCTCCATGGGGTTCCCCTCCAGGATGACGCACAGGCTGGGCACTGGCTGTGGGTTCACAGTGTGGAAAGCTCCCTTCAGCACAAGTCACCAGGCCCCTGGGTTCATCCAAGGTAGCCTGGACATGGCATGGCCAAGGGTCTGAACGCAGTTGGCCATGTAGTCCCAGGCATGTACCTAACTTCTCTGTGCCTCAGTTTCCCCACTGGTAAAAAAAAAAAAAAAAAAAAAAATTCTACTTCATGTGAAGAAATAAAGCCACGAGGCCCCTGCCTACCGGCTGGGACCCAGAACTTCCACTCTAAGAACACCAAAGTATGTTTGTTTCTTTTCCAGAAGATGCTGCCAGGGAGGGCTGTGAACTCCCAGACCCAGCCTTGCACCTGCCAGCCCAGGCCCGCTCCTTCCTGGCCCCGAAAGTCATCCTCCCCAGGGCAACCCAACAGACCATGGCTGAGGGACTGTGGCCACCAAGCCCTGGGAATGCTCCTGCCCTGTCCCCACCACCCCACACTCCAGGCCCCAGAATATACAAGTGCAAGACCCAATCTGAGACCCAAATGGTATGGCAAAGAGGGGGTTGGGAAGGTCAGGATGGAGGGGGAAGGGCTACCAGGTGAACCATAAATTTGATAGGCAGTGGGGGGGGGGGGGGCGGG